AATTGGTGGAGGGGGGGGGGGCACCGTTGTCTAGAACCTTGCGATCCCCGCTCTCCATGTGTAGGTGGCACCGATAAAGAGGAGTGTACAATCGCATGACCTCTCGTGAGACTCTCGTGAGACGCTCCTGCTTCTGCGACAGGGCTCCCCCCCGGAGCCAGTTCTTCCTGGCTATGTTTCGTGCTTTTTTTCTGGGGGGGGGAGCGAGGAGGTACCTGAGGACATAGGGAAAGACACCGGAGTTGACATGGTAGATCTGAGACCTCCACGTTGGTCCTGTTGTCGATTTTAAACCTGGCGGTCGCCATACGAATGGTGGCGCAACTGTTGTCGTGCAGCGGTTTTTGACGAGCGACTACATGTACTGTTGCATGACTGGCAGGTCCGGAAAGCCTTCGAAGAGGTAGAGGGGGCCAGCATTGCCATGGACATCGTCGCGGTGGGGCCGGAAGACAGGGTCGATCTAGGGCAGGGCTGCTTCGTGCGTCCCTTCTTGGTCAAGCACCGGTAGGTTTTCATCGGCATTTTTTCTTTCTCGCGCGCGCTGGGGGAGCGAGCGCAGCGGGCCGGCACCAGACAGTGTCTCCACACGAAAAACGTAGACGCAACACGCACAGAACGACAGACGATTGTGAAGACATTTCACTGGTTGGGCGTGGGGTCCGAGTAGAAGGGCAAAGCACGAGCAGGGAAGCTGCGCCCAATGCTCGCAAACCGGCACCTCGATACACGCATCAAATTGACGGTTTTGAAGAGCGTAATCGCACCGCCACTAGAGTACGCCGGAGAAGTATGGGAAGAAAACAAGAAGGTAGTCAGAGATCCCGAGCCGGCGCACATGAAAGCAGCGAAAACCATTGCTCCAAGCGCACAAGCAATGCAGCCATGAGGGCAAAAACTGGGGATTCAATCCCCACGATCGGGAAGAGACCCAAGGAAGCTAAAATGGCAGTACCACGGTATGGTAGAGGAGAAGTTGCCGAGAATAGCTTGGGAGGCGAAGTGGGCAAACAAGAAGAGGGGCATACAACCCACGGAGTGGGTTGAGTGGGTTAAGGTTGAAGATGACGCATGGAAGGAGTTCGAAGTTGACGAACGTGATAGGTCTAGAGGACTTCAAGGAGAAGATATCTGTTGCTTTTGCCGAAAGAGAGAAAAACACAACCTAACCAAAGAAACCAAGGATATGGAGGGTCTAGATATATACGGAACGTTGAAAGAAGGAAAAGGGTTCAAGGAGTACCTACATGGTCCAAATGATGCCGGGACAAAAGCTGAAGGTCTGAAGGTCTGAAGGTCTGAAGGTCGAATTTAGGAACGGGGTCATTGGCCTTCGAGAACGTAGACGAAGATTTATTAGGAAGGTGGACGATGAAGGCGACAAGTTCAAATGTGATTGCGGCTCCGAGTTCGAAGACCGTGTTCATGTAGTTGGGGAATGTCCGTTGTACGAAAAAGGAGAGGGAAGTGTACATGACTGGGCTGGGAAAGGTAGAAGAAAGGAACAGAGAGATGTATGAGACATGGAACAGCCAGGAGAAGACGGTAGCTGCACTGGGGCATAGGAAGTGGGTTGAAAAGGCGGGAAGTGATATCGATAGGGTACATAGGCTAGGGAAGACATTTTTGAGCCACCTTTGGCAAAGTAGGAAGGAACGATTGGCCATCGGTGGTCGGACCCGTGGGAACAATGCTCCGTCCTCTCTAGGACGCGTGGTCAAGGGTTTATCCGCTAAGGTACTCAAGCCATCAATACGCCCCCCCCTCTCTTACTTTCGTGTGGTCGCAGGGTCGACGCTTTGGGGTTTGCACTGATGCGGCTTAAGACAGACGGCCTGAAGCACGAGTACCGACAGTTGGACGGGAGGGAGATCGGAGCTCTGAGGTGCGAGAAGGCTTTGCTGGTAGAAGTAGGTCTCGAGTCTTGACCGTGCTTTTTCCGATTTTTCGTGCTTTGGTCGTGTGGACCTCTCTCTCTCTCACGCCACCTCTCTCACTCTCACTTCAGAATGTATGCAAACAATCTTTTTCGTACTCGCGCTTTAAGGGTCTACCTGTCGCCGTGCTACCGCATTTTTCTCCGTGGTGTGCAGGAGCATGCGTGTCGTCACCACGACCGACGCTTGAGGGTTAGTATCATAGGACAAAAGAAAAATGTTTGTTGTACCTAGCTCTCTCTCTCTCTCTCTCTCTCTCTCTCTCTCTCTCTCTCTCTCTCTCTCTCTCTTCGTTCGTTCTTTGCTCAGGAAACGTGGGGTAGACGTCCAGTCGTCCCACGAAACCGTGGAGGTGGTCTACACGGGGGACACCGTGATGGACGGCCTCGTGTCGCAGCCGTTGGTGTGGGAGGCGCGAATGCTCATCATGGAGGTCACCTACCTCGACGGCGATGGCAGTGCGGCAGCGAAGAACTTCCACGTACACGTACAGGCGAGACTGAGGAGTGTAGGAGGGGGGGATGAGTAGCTGGGCTTCGCTTCGCCCGTGTGTGGGTGTGTGAGCGTGATTTTGTTATTGACATCGACCGCGCTAACCGGCTGACCGATGAAAAGACGTCAGTCTTTCGTGCGGTTGAAAACTGTGTGTGATTGTGTTATTGACATCGACCGCGCCAACCGGCTGACCAATGAAAAGACGTCAGTCTTGTAGCGGGACAACGAAAGGGTAAAGGTTCGTATGTGCGTGGGTGTTCTTGAGGGTGCGTACAGGTCGAACCAAGCTGGTACGAGAAGAGGCTTTAGATTTTAGACATTAGACAAGGAACGCTCCCCCTTGCCCGTTCTGTTGTGTGCGTCTCTAGTCGGTGTCAACCAACGCTGTTAACCGGCTGACTAATTCCAGACCACCCACCCACGCCTTCAACCGCAGGATGTGCTCGACAACATGGACAGGCTCCGACGAGTGGAGCAGCTCGTCGTGGCGCACGTGTCGGAGAGGCACGGCAGCCACCGGAACGTTCTTCGCCTGCTGTCGGCGGCCCTGCCCCCGTCCTTCGTCAACAAGGTAAGGAGGGGCACAGGGTGGCGTGGTTAGTTTGTCATCCTCGTAAAAGGAGGTTGTTTTTGAAGGCGACGTGCTCCGACGTATGCAGTTTTTCTCCACGGATGACGGCCACGTTGGCTCTTGTTATTTCTAATTACGTCGTACGCTGAGGCACGTTCTTGTGTGGCTCTTGGAATTCCACGCCGCACGCGCGGAGTTTTTCTCGTGTGCAGAACTGCTACTCTGTTGAGAACGTTTTCAAAAACCTGCTGTATGACTAGCAACGGCGGTCGGTGGCGATTGCTGTGAGGACGTGACGACGAACAGAAAATTAGCTGCACTCCACACCCCTGGCTGTTCGACGCCAGCACCCGCCTGTTACCCTGGGACGTTGGCAGCTCTGTCTCTCCTTGACATCACCAGTATCGGGGGGGGCGAGGGCTCGTTGCACAGAGCGACCTCAGGCATGCATGTTAGGTTAGCACCGGGCTGCTAACGCGCGGCGGTCGTTGCACAGAGCGACCTCAGGCATGCATGTTAGGTGTTTCGCAACATGTACTATATATACCAGTACCTTCTTTCGGTGTTTAGCGCGTGACCACGGACGGCGCCCACGTAAGTTGGACCAGCACGGGTATCAGGAGAAGATCAGCGGACAGGGAACAGCAGCCACACGGTACTCCTAGAGAGCCAAATTTGTTCAGGTGCTGGCAGTGCAGCTATTATAGGCCGAGTATTCTTCCTAGCTGCACCTTCGCGCTGCCCACCCGCGCACACACGCCAGACTTCTTTGCTGCAACGACAAAAGCATCATCACTCGGTAGCTCTCGTGTGTTCGTTTCTCTTGGTAGAACCGACCCCGCGAACTGGCTGGCCAATGAGATGACGTCATCAGTCAATAAGCGGCACGGAAAAGCACAATAACGCCTTCTGTGTCTGCGCTTCCGCATGTTTTGTCTTTGTTATTGGCAACGACCGCGTTTTCCGGTGGGGTTATTAGGATTAGTGTGTGATTGTTTCGGGCATCGGGCATGCTTCTGACGCGAGCACTCTATTCTCGAGCCTGTCGGCAAGAATAGCATCGAAACAGCCTTCCAGAACCTATTACGTGCGCATGCTTTGTATCCGTGTGCGTGCCTTTCTTAATAGCATGTAGCGCGCTAACGTGCGTGCGTGTGGGGGGGGTGGTGTTACAGGTTTCGGTTGCCCTCGGAGAGTTCGGGGCCTCTCAACACCTTTCCTTCTTGGAAGACTACGTCGCCGGAGGAGAGGTCTCCTCCCCGAAGAGGCTTTCCCGCGGGGGCTCCGGCGGAGGAGAGGCAGAAGAACAAGCAGGGGGGGTGGGGGGGTTGGCGAAGGAGGAGGCGAAAGGGCGGTGACGACGAGGCGATCGAAGCGGGGGAACGTCGTCCGGCAATCGGACACAGGCTACGGCAGCAGCAAGCTGTTTTGCAGGGGGGGTGGGTCCAACTGGCTTTCGCGTTTGGCAGAGAGACGAGTGTCCCTAAACCTCGCCAACTCTCAATTACATGGTTTTTCTGGGTCCATTTGTTGTGGTACGTTGTTTGGGTTAGTTAGCTTGTGAACCACGGAGCTTCTGTTCGTCGCCCCGCCGAAAACTACCAGAGGTCAAGAATTGTTTTGAACGTGAAGGCAAGAACACTCTCGGACATTGACTCCCCACCGCCGTCCCGCTTTTTGGTGGAAAGTGTACCATGTACAGCATGACAGCAGTAGGAGGCGTCTTCTTGGCGGTACAGGAGAGATAAGCCACGTCATACGCATGTGGCACGCAGGCAATGGAAGTAGCAGCAGTGGCAGCAGCATCAAGCAGAAACAGCAGCAGCGGCAGCAGCAGCAGTGGCAGCAGTAGCAGAAGCAGCAGTAGCAGCAGCGAGGAGACATCCCCCGTTACGGATGCAAGGGACTCTCGAAGTCTCGACAGTAGTAGCGATTTCGGGATCCATTCGTACATCTATTCGTATTATTAATGGATGCACGGCCATTTTTGGAGACGACAAAGCTGCTGCGCGGGCTTGGTGTGCAAAACGCATTAGACAGGAAGTTGGGTTTGGATGCGGATTTGTTTGGGTTTTGTGCTGCATAGACTAAGACTAGAACAAGAAGAAAACCTTCGGCAAAAATTGCACACAACAAATGTATTGACTCAGAAAGGAAAAGTATGATGATTTCTACGACATCGGGGTGGAAACATACAAAAAAAATATTGGCTAAAACCAGACCCAAAGTTTGTTTGGAACACTCAGAGCGGATTGATTGAGCGGCCTGAAACCTTGGAACCTTTTCCTGAAGTTTCCACCTGATCGAGAGTGAGAAACGCTTCTTTCACGGTAAAGAAACCTGGTGCACAGCGTCAACGCGATGATGACACATGAAAGGTAGTGGTAGCCATGTTTGTGCGAAAGAGTGCGGTGTTTACGATGCATAGACTACAATACTGTATCCGCAAAACAAGTGATGGTAATGGCCAGTGGCGTGTACCGTGGGTAGAAACAATCGGGTTGATGTTCCACTCCCGTGCAGCAGGTAGAAAATATCGGGTTGTTGTTGTTCCACTCAGTGCAGCAGGTAGAAAATATCGTTCACCGCTTTCTTTCGCCAAAATTTCGTAAGATCGACGTCGTCATTCTCTGAACGGGGGCAGACGGCACTCGCCAAACAGGAAACAAACGCGCCGATACGCCGAGGTTGCGCGTTGAATGGAAAAACCACACAACATCGATAGATTAACCACGCAGCAGAGCTACATAAATATGAAACGTTTCACGGACACGCTTTGGAGCAAAGAAAAAAAAAACGCCTCCCGCGGCGCGTCATCGCACTACAATAGGCAGTACCCAATCCGCGGAGCCCCCTTGCATGCGAAGC